ATATATAACATATATATGAATATATAACATATATGTGAATATATAACATATATAAATATATATGTTTATATAAAAATATATAATATATATTTATATAAAAGTATATATGACATAAATATACATGAAATTATATAAATATGACATATGTACATGACATATATAAATATATAACATAGATGTACATGTGTGACATAGATCTACATATATGATATAGTTGTACATATATTTGACATAGATAAGATGTAGATAGGACTATATATGACATAGTTATGACATAAGTAAGACACAGATAGGACGAATATATGATATCGCTATGACATAGATAAGATGTAGATAGGACGTAGATATGACATAGATATGACATAGATAAGACCTGGATAGGATGTAGATACGACCTGGATAGGATGTAGATATGACATAGATATGACATAAGTAAGACATAGATAGGATGTAGGTATGACACACATCAGACGTAGATAGAACAGAGATAAGATGTAGATAGGAGGTAGATAGGACGTAGATAAGATGTAGATAGGAGATAAATATGCAGATAAGATGTAGATAGGCCGTAGATATGACATAGATATGGCAAAGATATGACATATAGACATAGATGACATAGGTGTGACAGATATGACAGACAATATAACAGATGACATAGATTGACATAGATATACCATACATGTTATGTCATGCATGCCATCCATGTAATACACATGTTATATGCATGTTCAAATTTATACATTTTATACATGTCACATGCATGTCATACATGCCATGCATGTCATAAGCATGCCATACACATGTCATATGTGTGTCATATTTTCCATGCATGACATATACATGTCGCATGACATATACATGTAGCATGTCATATGCATGCCATATTTGTCATGTTATAGCACATATATCACACATGTCCTATACATGTCATACATGTTATATGCACGTCATATTTGCCATACATAAGTCATGCATGTCATCTATGTCACATACATGTTATGTTATACACATAACATATATGACAAATGTGACAGGCATGTGACATGTGTGACATGAATGGGAAATATGACAAGTATGACATGCATATATATGACATGTATGGCAAATGTCATGCACGATATGCCATAACATGACAAATATGGCATGCAGATGCCATATATGCCATATATGCCATGCATACGACATGCATATAACATGTATGGCAAATATGACATTCATACAAGCATGAAATGCATATAACATGTATGACATGTATATGAAATGTATGACATGATATGATGCGCATATAACATGCATAAACATGAACATACATATAACACGTGTAACACATGACATGTGACACGCATGTAACATACATGACATGTATAACACGCACATTACACACGTGACATGCACATCACATGCATGTCATGCATAACATGCACATACATGTATGATATATAACACCTATAACATAGATGTATGTAACCTATAACTTACACGTAACATGTATATGATGTAAAATGTAATATGCACATAACATACATGTAGCATAAAACGTACATATAACTAATGTGAAATACATATCTATAACATAAACAGGTGTTTGGCATGCATGTAACATTTAACATGGTTATTACATGTATGTAACATAAACGTCACATGTAACATATCTAAGGCACACACGAAACAATATTTTTATGACATGTATAGAACATGCTTATGACATGTAAGTAACATTTAACATGCATATGGCATGCATATGACCTGCATATGACCTGCATATAATATGTAACATGCTCATGACATAGAATGAGAAGGGAGAGAGGGCCTTTCAGTGAGAGGCTTTCCACATTTCTGTGGCCTCCAAAAGCATTCGCCACTTTCTTGAATTTTTTATGGAGTCTCACATGTTTGCTAGCTTCATCCAAGATGGAGCTAAGAAAGTGAGTGGAGCAGTACTTAGAGGTACTACCAGACACTGAGCAGAGTCGAATGAATAAGTTTCTTCAAGGTTTGGGCAACAAAATGAAGTCCACAAGGAGAATTAAGCCACCTTCTCAATAGCAGAGTCCAGTGCCTTGCAGAGCCTGAAGTCTAGGGAGAAGGCCTAGCCTGGGATCATCTGGGCTGCTGTGGCTGCTCTGCCCCCACAGATCCCATCCTCCAACCCAGTCCACCTGTGCCTTCATCATATCCTGGGATACTGTTTGTAAATAATCTGCCGTAAGCTTTCTTAACTGTTTTTGTAACAAACAAAGAGAATACGGTAAATATTTGTATATTCTCAAGGGGTCAGGTGCTTTCCTGTCCTTTCAGAGCATGGATGAAGTTTTGCTGGGTGCTTGTGACTGGCCAATTTTGTGCAGCTGACTATCTCAGCCAAATCACTGATCTTTCCTGGAGGCCTTTGGCCTGCCTGAGGCCCTTGCTGCCAGTCTTGGGCCCTGGAGAGCAGACGCTGTCAGAGGACCTTTTAAAAAAAATCTTAGAGTTTCTATTTTTTTCGTAGTCCCCATACCCATACCCTCTGTTTTTGAAAGGCCAAGGCCAATCAGTCCCCATTTGAGGCTCTTAGGCATGGTCCTCTCATTCCTCATTGAGATGATCAGTGTGTCATGGGAAGCCCAACCCCAGCTCTGCCAGCGGTCTCTGGGCCTGGCTCCCAGTCAGTGGCGACAACAGTGTGGTACAGGGCATCCCTCCTTTCCATCTGCGGGTGTTTTCAATAAACAGTGTACAGTTGTTTGGGGCCAGAAAAAAAAATACTAAAAGAAACATAATATATATATAAAATATAAATATATATAACATATATATATAAATATATAAAACAGAAATATAAATATATAAAAATATATAAAATATATCTATAATATATACATATGTATTTATATATATAAAATATCATAATACCATATTGTTACTCTGCCTCTTCTATGTTTAGCTACAGGAATACTTTTCACTGTGTTACAATTGCTTACAGTATTGAGAACAGTAACACGCTGTGCAGGTTTGCAGCCTAGGAAGATGCCATACTTGGATTTGTGTTCACATATCGTTCTAATTTTGTGAGGTTGAAAGGTAATTGTCTAAACCAAACGTGAGTGGAGAGGGGGTCTCCGGAGAGCAAAGGGCCCTCCATTCCGCTTCCTAATATGAATAGACTTATGCCATACAGCCTGCGTGTACCATGCCATCTAAGTTTGTGTAAGTGCACTCTATGATGTTCTCACAACACAAAATCACCTAACGACACATTTCTCAGAATGTGTCTGTCATTAAGTGACACATGACTATTTACACTGTTGACCTCAAGTATGCACGTCGATCAGACGAGTGGTGAAAGACTTCATTCTACTTTATTCTAATTTAAATGCAAGTGCTGTCTGTAGTTAGGGAAGTGAAGGAGCACTCAGCCTCCAGTGATATTCAACTCTAATTAGAAATCCTTCTCGGACTTAGTTCAAAGCTTCCTCTTAATATTCCAGGAACTTAATCCTCTACACAAAGTATGTGAAGACAAAAAAATGTAGAAAGTATGTGAAATCGCTATTATTTAAGTGTGGAATATTAATTTTGTTGTAAGAAAAGGGATTTATTCACTGAAATGAACTGTATTAATCTGACTCATCACCACAGAAATCACGTAGGCTCCTCTCTGAGTCAGAAAATTTCAAGACGTTTCTGTCTGCTTTTCCTCTTTAGGGACTGTTTAAGTACAGCAAAAGGAGGGGCCAGCAGATTTCAATTCAAGTATGTTTGAAGCCTGTTTACTGACATTACTTATAAAACAAAAAATAAAAATAGTAAAATCTCCACTACAAATGATCTCTGTAAAGTGTAATAATATGATTTGTTTATTTTCTATATTTTATAAATTGCTACAGTGAACAGTTTTAATTAAAAAAATTAAAGTCAGCCTTGAAAGTTTTTTTGATTGTTGTTTGTTTTAATTTGCAGACATGACAGTACCTTTTAGCTGTTTCTATACTTGAGTAGCAATCAATTTGGGTGTCAGATTTTAGGGTCACAATGTTCTTTATACCTCATCCTACTCTCTCCTGGTATTTGTTACTCAGAGAAGAAATCTGAGTCCTGATTATTTCAATTCGTTTGAAGAAACCAAGTTATGATTATTACATTTGTTTGTTCAATAGTAGGAGTCTTTCTATTTAAGTTTAAAATTTTTCACGTAGCAACTTCCTATTCTAGGTCTCACTTCATGAAGGGGTTTTTTCCTTCCCGTGTTGAACTCTCAACCTCCGATTTTAGATTTCTTCTCAGACCTGGAAAGCATATTTTTAAGATAAATGTTTAATCTTGCTTGTGATCCACCATTATTTAGGCTTTAAGAACATCTCTGATTTACAGCTTGGAGTTCTATGATTTGTCCTCCCTTAAATTTTTGAGCTCTTCTAAATGTCTTTATTCATTTCACATTTGGGAATATTTCTGAAGCAAATCCTTTCCGTTATAGATTTGATTTTCACACTGTCAAATCTGCCTTTTATTGCTTCTAGTACAAAATCTGCTAGATTTTTTCTTCTTTCTTCAGTGGCTTGAACCTGGTTTCTTTTTAAAATCTAAGTTTGTTCTCGTTGGGTGATGGCAGTGTCCTCTCAAACTGTTTCTGGGGTTCCTGCACCCCTGTGAGCTCCCAGGCCATGTCTGTGGCAATGCTGAGGATAAGTGCAGGGTGTGGCCCTCCTGGTGATGAAGAGGAGGTGCACCCCAGGTCAGCAGAAACCGAGAGAACTGGCGGGGCTGAGCAGGCAGGACGTAGAAAATGTCCTCACAAAAACCCTAAGATGAGGTATGATTTTCCCAGCCTGTCCCTCTGTAGGCCTGACTCGCTTCATTACACTAAACTGGATGTGAATGGAGAGGGGGCCTCGGGAGAGCAAAGGACCCTCTGTTCCCTTTCCTAATATTAATGCCTTACTTTGATTTACATTCAAGTGTCATTCTCCCTTCGATTTTATGAGGTTGAAAGGTAATTGTCTTTATTACTAGAGAAAGGAGAACTGGAGTTCAAAGAAACTTAACTGAGAAGTGAGTCCTGGTCTCTGGATTCTTGTGTTGACGTCTGGAGTCACAGCAACTGGTGATGAAAGAGTCCAGGCTCAGTGCCTCCTAGGAATGGCCTCACATCCTGTTGTGCAACTTTCCGGAGCCTCTAGGTCAGTGTGGTGCTTTGTAGCTGTCCCGGGAGGCCTCAGCAGTTGGAGTTGGTGCAGGGGAAGGATGAGGAAGACCAGGCGCTGGGGGCTGCTGTGGATGCTGTTTGTCTCAGGTAAGGCAAGGAAGAGGAGTAAGCCGGGGAGGCGCTTGGTTCAGGACCTTGGGAAGCCCTTTTCCATTGAAGCTTTAGAGCACGGGGCCATCCAAGATAGAGCCAACCAGCAGTTATGCCAGACCTTGCTGCTCTCCCCAAACTTAGCAGAATCGGGAGAATGTGCAGTGTCTGCACACAGAAATAAAAGGAGGAGAGAGTCAGGGAAATAAGATGTCTGTGCAGGTCGATGTTGTCGGGGATGTGCAAAGCCTGGCCTGGGAATAATGATAGAGTAAATCTCATCATGGCATGATCTAAAATGAGTTTATTTCATGTTGAAATTTTTTTCTGATATTCTATCATGATGTGTTTTGATGTTGACAACTTGTTAAACCCAAAAGACAGAATTTATATAACAAATATTTCCCAGGGGTCTACTATGGGCTAGCAAATGTACTACTGCTGAAGAAGATTCGCTTCAGAAGACACAGATGTGACCAGAAGAGGCTGGTTCTCTTTTTGGTGGAGGTGATAATCCCAGCTCTTCATGGCACGCTGGGATTGGAGGTGACCGTTACTGAGACTCGGCAGAGCTGGCCCATGCCCCAGCCCTTCCTTGTCTCTCCCCTTGTGATCTGCACAGCTCACATCTGTACCAAAACCAGAAGCATGGGGGGCTTTATTCACTCCTCCTCTTAATCCTTATGAATAAAGTGTCAATATGAGTTAAAGGCGAGGCTTGCCTTGGGAAGACATGAAAAATCAGGGAGAGATATTCTCCTGGGCCCTCTACTTTGAGCAAAGTCATGCACAAATGCCTTTTGGAGCCTGTGCTCAGAGGTTGCTCTGGGTCTTCTTGGAGCTGGGATGATAATCTAGGTGGGCAGAAGGGAGTTAGGTCCTCATGGACAAGTGCATTTCTTTGTGTTTGATTCGTGTTTTTCTGAAGGCGATGTGGGAGATGGCAGAGGGCTGAATGTTATGTACTTGTGTGAGAGAAAACCAGTGGCATATATTTCATTGTGCCTTGTGGTAATAGGTTAGGGGTTAGCCTGAATGTTCCTTGCAGCTGGATGCCTATTCACACTTGGGCCAGTACTGCTCTAATCCCTATCCGACTGTGTTGGGCCATGTAGCTCAGTGTTTTAGATGAACAAGAGTCCTTGGGTTTGAATCCTAGCTCTAGCACTTAACTATGGTGAGACTTTGGGCAAATCACATAATCTCTCTGTGCCTCAGTTTCCTTAACCATAAAATAGGGAGAGTAATGGTGTCAACCTTTTAAATTATAAAGATTAAATAAGATAGTCTTTAAAAACATTTAGCACATAAGACTTAGGTAGTATTTACTACCCTTTTAGTTAACATATTCTAAGGAATTCCCCTCTTGCAATGGTGCACAGATAGCTCCGCAGCCTGCGCTTCTTACTGTCTCCTTCCTTCTGTGAAAGACAGGCAAGTTTGCAAACTCAGTCATCTGTAACTCACATCTTCCCTGGGGAGCTGGCAAATAAAGATTTATCTGTAACATTAACTTCAGAGGTTAGGGCTTCAGTGGTGGCAACTTGGGGATGGAGACTGTGTGTCTTTCAAAGAACTCAACACAGTGCCTGTGATAGAGAAATCTCTCAGCCACTGTCTGGTGAGCGATTGAACAAATGAGGGAACCAGGCTTGGTTTCAGACAACACTCAGCCTCTGCTCAGCTGCCTCTTGGAGGGGCATTCCTGACTGGAATTTGTGGGAATTGTCTGGGAGGTCTGTTTACAAGGTTTCCTTAGAAACTGGAGTCTGTTCCCAGAAGAACTGGCTTTCAAGCCTGGTTTCACCTTTAAAATCCTCATGAGTTCCTGAATTGGGTTTTCCTAACGTTAGGCAGATCTGTTGGCCTATCCTGGGGTGGGCATGCCAGGGGCTCCAAGAACGGGGCAGTGCTTGTCATTTTTCACCAGGTCTGAAAGGATCTAAGTGTATGGTATTAATAACAGCAGTGCTAGTGTTACCCTGACCCACATGGTAGACCCAGCAGCACTGTCCACTCTGTTACCCGGCACTCCATGGGGGAAGGGTCTCCAGGCCTGAGTGAGTAAACTACAGTCTCTCAGCAAACTTCGAGAGCCCCGTGTGTCCCGCTGAAAACACGGACCTGGGTCTTCTCACTTTCACTCTGCTTAGCCTCCCATCGGCAAGGCTCCCTTGGACGAGACCAGATGACCATTCCCAATTCTAGGTGGCTAACCCGGTTCGGCCTCCCAGAATAAGATGGAAACTATTGTCACTGTAACCCAGGAGTTCTTAAACCTGGCACTATCGACATTTGGGGTGGGATGATTCTTTGTTGTGTCCCGTGTGCTGTGGATGCTTAGTCTGGTCTCCATTAAATGTTAGCAGCATCCACCCTTCTCCCTGGTTATAACTACCAAAAACGTCTAGATATTGTCCAGTGTTTCAGGGAAGGTTGTGGGGATGGGGGAGCAAAAGTTGCTCCCCAGTGGAGAACCCCTGCTGTTGGCTCCCTGACATCAAAAATAGGAGGGGGGCATTTCTTGGCTCAAGTAACTGGGAAGTACAAGGGGTGCTCCTTTGGATCACAGCTGAGTCTCTGACTCAGATAATGTGGGGTGCTTGCTCTCTTTCTCTCTTTCTCTCTCTCCGCCGCCCCTGCACTCTCCCCCATCTCCCTTCCTCCCACTCTCTTTCTGCCTGTTTAGCCATTCTCAGGCAGCCTATTCCCACATGGCAGAAAGTTTCACATCTCACTGACCTGTCAATCCCAGCAAGAAGCATTTCTCTTAATGGCAACAGCAGTCTCAGGAAGGATTCTGATTGGTCCAGTTCAGCCATGTGCCCCTTCCTAAACCAATCAGCTTGGCAAGACATGGGGTACTTTTTTTTTTTTTTTGGCAGAGTTCTCGCCCTGTCGCCCAGGTTGGAATGCAGTATCATGATCTTGGCTCACTGCAGTCTCCTCCATTCAGATTCAAGTGATTCTCCCACCTCAGCCTCCCATGTAGCTGGGACTACAGGCATGCACCACCATGCCTGGCTAATTTTTTGTATTTTTAGTAGTGACAAGATTTCACCATGTTGGCGAGGCTGGTCTGGAACTCCTGACCTCAGGTGATTCTACCGTCTCAGCTTCCCAAAGTGCTGGAATTACAGGTGTGAGCCACAGTGCCTGGCCCTGAGATAGAGTACTTTGATTGGCAAAGCCTGTGTCCTGTGTCCATCCTTAAGAACATGGAAAACTCCAATAGCAGAGCCACACAGGATGGTTCCCTTGGAAAGAGGTGCTCTGCTACCCAAGGAGGGAAGAAAGGAGTGCCAGGAAGTCAGATGGCTTGCCCTCAAGACGGCTTCCTCACTGTTTGTCCAATGGTCTTTTGAACTGATCTCTCTGTCCTGACTTGGTGAAGTTCCTTAAGCTGTCCTTGGGGACACTCTCTGCTAGCACTGGGTCTTTGCATTCACTCTTTATGCTGCACACCCTTGTAATCTTTCCCTCCCACCATGCTGTAGCACTTGTGGGCTTAGCACAGTGTCCCATGTTCTTTCTCCAGTCAGGTGGTTTCTTCCTCTCAAAGTCCGTCTTCCTCTCCTGATCGTTTATGAAATTTGAGCCTCCTGGACCATATACAATCTCACTCTTATAGTAAAAAACCTACTCACAGTGAAAAGATCTGAGGTCTAGTGCTGGCTTGCAGGGAACGTTGTATTTTCTATGGAGGCCTCAAGAACTTTGTCTGAAAGATGGGTGGTTGGACAAGAACAATAGGCGGTTCCTCTCCTTTTTCCCCCCAGAAAGAGAAAAATAATTCCTCACAGAACCCAATTCTCTTTCCCTGCTTATAGAACTTCAAGCTACAACTGAATTAACTGAGGAAAGGTTTGATCTGGAAGAGGGGCAGACCCTGACTGTGAGCTGTCCCTATGGGATAGGGATGTATGACCACAGCCAGAAGGCTTGGCAGAGGATAAGAGAGGGAAAAGGGCCGCCCCAGACCCTGGTAACCACAGAGATGCCTTCGGAGAATTCCCATCCTATCCAAGTGGGGAGGATCATACTAGAAGATTACCATGATCATGGCTTACTGCGTGTCCAAATGACCAACCTCCAAGTGGAAGACTCTGGACTGTATCGGTGTGTGATCTGCCAGGATCCCAAGGAACCTCATGTGCTGTTCTATCCCGTCCGGTTGGTGGTGGCCAGGGGTGAGTGGCCTGGGATTGGTGGGGAAAGGAAGGCCAGGTGAGGAGAGGGAGAGTGGTGGCAGCATCAGCAGAGCTGGGGTTCAGGATTCCTAGCAGCCAGATGAGAGATAAAGAGCTTCTTTCCTTCCTTCCGGGAGGAAGCTCCTTATCTCTCATCTGAGGCCCAATAGTAAGTAGAACCTTCCATGCATGAGATTCTCCTTAGATAGCAGAGCCTAATTTGGGGTGCTGTGGTAGGAATTGGGGTACAACTAAGGTGAGTGGTAGATTTAAGATAATTTAGTCTCATTGCTTGTTCTCCACTTAGAAGTCATGCCCTGACATCTGCTCCTGAGGATGCATTTGGTGGCATGACTGTGTGCTTCTGAAGCAGTCCCTCTCAGATCTTTCTGCGGGCACAGATCACCTGGGGATCTTATTTCAAATGCAGACTCCATCTGAATAGGTACAGGGTGGGACCCAAGAGTCTGCATCTCTAATGATCTCCCGGATGATGCCGATGCTGATGGTCCGTGGCTCCTATTTTGGGGGAGCAAGTCTCCAGCCTCACTTTGTGTCCCCTTGTACACAACTCTTTTCTCACAGGATAGGAGAGCACGGTTTACTTATCTGTCCCCTATTCATTTCAGAACTGCTTGAGGGAAGCACCTGTGCCTTCCTGGGTTCTGCACCCCTTAGCAAATAATGTAGTTTGTGACACAACGTAGGCCCTCACTAGATGTTGCATTAAGGGATGAATTATGAAAGACAGAGGAAAGGGAGGCAGGTTCAAGTTTCCAGGACCTGGAGAATTCTAAGCCTAAGAAAGACAAGATGCATACACAATATATTGATAAAAGATAACTTTTAAAGCGATTTGCTGTAAGCCAGGTGAATGAAAGGCAGAGTGAATCAAGTAAGCCTGGAACTATTCTTGGAGAAGGTGGGGGCACATGAATTGGTGAAGGGCAGATGTCAAATGCATTTCCAACAATACCAATGCCAAAAAATTCTTTCTTCTTCCCTCTTTCTGCTCTCCCTCCTGCCTTTTTTTTCTTTCCTTCTTTTGATCTCTGACTCAGGCTGATCCCATAGTATTTCTTTGGTTTTAGCAAAAAAAAAAATCTTTGCGTTTTGGCCACGCTCGTTTCCATCCTCAGCGTCATTTACCCTACCACCTACCAATCCATCTACTCATCCATCAACTCATCCACCTTTTCATCCACCCATCCATCCATCCATCCACCCATTCACCCACTTCATCATCTATCCATCCATCCAGCCACTTTCCAACAATTCATCCATCAAACCACTCACTCATACATCCACGCATCCATCTGCTCATCCATTCACTTATCCATCCATCCATCCATCCATCCAATGTGTCTTCTTGCAGGTTCTTCAGGTACCCCTGCCTCCAGTGAGAGTTCTACCCAGAATGTGGATAGTGTTCCTCCTACCACCACTAAGCCCCTGGGCCCACTGTATACCAGCCCCAGAACTGTGACCCAAGCTCCACCCAAGTCAACTGCTACCGTCTCCACACCTGGCTCTGAAATCAACATTAAAAATATGACAGATATCATCAGGTATGGTTTCCAGGCCCCTAGGCCCTGGATTTGGACACTGAGCCCATTGTTCCCCAGTCCATGTGCTAAGAGGATGAGGGAGTGAGAGAAAGGGGAGGGTAGGGCAGGAGCAGACCTGAGTCACATTAGTCTGGGTAGAAATGTCCAGGGAAGAAGGAGGTGGTGATGGAGAATAGGAGAGGCTCTCTCTCAGCCAGGCTGTCCTTCTCCCCAGTTCACCTTCCTTCCTTTCTTGCAACCTGATTATTAAGGAGAGGAAAATGGCATCTTCCCCAAATTCCAGTGGACCCCATCCAACCCCAGGGTCCGGTTGGGTAGTGGGAAAGCACTCTCTGAGTGAGGGACCCTGGATCTGGTGTCGGCCTGACTGACTGACTGTGACTTTGCGTGAGTCAGGAGCCCTCTCTGGCTTCAGCTTCCTTGTCAATTCAATAGGCATGCTAGAAGCCCAGAGCTGAAGACATTGTCCACCTAACAGCTCTCAGCAGCAGCCACACGTTAGTGCTAAATGCAGTATTGGTTTTTAAATAATAGTGTTGCATGTGCCCAATTATAGACCAATAGAGTCAGAATTTTTGCAGATGAGGTCCATCTCAGTATTTTTTTTCTTCTTTTTTGAGATGGAGTCTCGCTCTGTCACCCAGGCTGGAGTTCAGTGGCGCAATCTCGGCTCACTGCAACCTCTGCCTCCCAGGTTGGAGCAATTCTTCTACCTCAGCCTCAGCCTCTGAAGTAGTTGGGACTACAGGTGGTGCCACCACGCCCAGCTAAGTTTTTGTATTTTTAGTAGAGACGGGATTTCACCATGTTGGCCAGGTCTCGATCTCTTGACCTCGTGATGCCCCTGCCTTGGCCTCCCAAAATGCTGGGATTACAGGCATGAGCTACTGTGCCTGCCATCAGTATTTTTAATAAGATCTTCAGGAGATTTCTAATGTGTGGGCAAACTTAAGAACCACTAACTTCTCAATCGCAACCTCCTCACGGTTATTAAACATTGATTTATCTTAGAATGCGTTTATCATTAAATATTGAATTAACAAGGAAGGAAATGTTCTTCCACATTGCCACTAGTCTAACATGTCTTTTTTTCTCATATTCTTTTCTAGTCTTTATTTATGTTTATACATATTTTAATATGAGAGTAAGTCTAATTATAAATGTTTTTATTCTTTTTCCTGCTGAAATTATTATTTGATGCTGCTACCTAAATTTCATAAACATAATTTCAATGAGTGCATACTTTTCTATCAATTGGGAAAGCCATAACTTACATAATCTTTTGCCCATTCTTAGACATTGATATAGTGTTGAAAACTCTGAGATAAACATATTCTTGCAGATGTATTTTTCTTCTTTTAAGTAATTAACTCAAATGAAATTTCCATGAGAAAATTTAAGCACTGCTATCACTTTGTATCCAAATGGCATCTACTGATGGTCTTCCAAAAGATTGGAAACAATTTGCAGTGTGATCCATGGCGCATAAATAATGCAGCGTCGCTGCAGGCTTACAGACACGGATTTAGTAATTTCAATCATTAAATAGTGTGAGTTAAATCATATTCCTGCTAAAATGCATGTGAACTCGTGCCTGGCCTAATTTCTCTATGTGTGTAGACTCCACCTCCATATGTGTAGTGGGAGTGCCTTTTCCCCCATTACATTGTTTGGGGAACAAGGTGCTCATGAAATCTTTGTGGAGTAAATCAAATGAACAATACACTAAAAGTCGATAATTTTTTGTTTTCTTTCCACTTTCATTTTGCAATATGTAAGCTAAGAGTACATAACCTTTGCCCATATTCCTACTGTTAAGGGAAGGAGGGCCTTGAGTGTCCAGGTTTTGGGCCTTTTGAACAAAGAATTGTACAAGACGTATGAAGTAATAAAGGAATGAAGCAGTGAAAGCAGGGATTTATTTATTTATTTATTTATTTATTTATTTATTTATTGGGGGAGATGAAGTCTTGCTCTGTCACCCAGGCTGGAGTGCAGTGGTGTGATCTCTGCTCACCTCAACCTCTTGCCTCCTGGGTACAGTGATTCTCCTGCCTCACCCTCCTCAGTAGCTGGGATTACAGGTGAGTGCCACCACATCCAGCTAATTTTTTGTATTTTTAATAGAGTTGGGGTTTCACCATGTTAGTCAGGCTGTTCTCGAACTGACCTTGTGATCCGCCTGCCTTGGCTTCCCAAAGTGCTGGGATTACAGGCATGAGCCACCAAGCCCTGTTGAAAGCAGGGATTTATTTAAGGGAGAAAGCACTCCCCAGGGTAGGAGTGGGCTTAAGCAAGCGGCTCAAGGGCCTAGTTACAAAGTTTTCTGGGTTTTAAATACTCCATGTGAGGTTCCTCTAGGTTACCTCTTGTATAGATGAAGAATTTGATTAGTGGCTAACTAAACGCTGAGATGAATTGGCGCACTATGGGTACCAAGGGATGGTTGTCCCTTGCTTGGCCAATGGCCAATCCAAGGCACTCTCCCTTTCCATCTGAGACGTGGTAGAAGGGGGAGGAGTGTAGGGAGAGTTGCCTTTGATCTTTTGCTACTGGGGCATGGGGAGATGGGGTTTTTCTATTTGGTTTAGCTTTAGAAAGTTTGTGTTGGCTGGGTGCGGTGGCTCACACCTGTAATCCCAGCACTTTGGGAGGCCGAAGAGGGTGGATCACCTAAGGTCAGGAGCTCAAGACCAGCCTGATCAACATGGTGAAACCTCGTCTCTACTAAAAATACAAAAATTAGCTGGGTGTGGTGGCGTGTGCCTGTAATCCCAGCTACGTGAGAGGCCGAGGCAGAAGAATTGCTTGAACCTGGGAGGCAAAGGTTGCAATGAGCCGAGATTGCACCATTGTACTCCAGCCTGGGTGACAGAGCAAGACTCTGTCTCAAAAAAAGAAAAAAAAAAAAAAGGAAAGTTTGCATTAATTGGCCCTAGGTTCCCTGCTCTCGGCCCCAGGAGTTTTTTCCTCTTGATCCAGCTTTGGGAAGTGAGCCTGAATCCGTCTTAGATTCCTTGTCCCCAGACCTTGGTGTTGCTCCTTGATTCAGCATGAATTGGCCTTAAGTTCCCTGCCTCCAGACCCTATTTTCCTACCTTGCTACTAGAAGCTGCATCTCTCTTTTATCTGTTTACTTCATATATAATCTAACGTGAACTATCTTGTCAGCCAGAGTCCAGTCTGGAAAGTGGAAGCCACTCTAGCTGTTTGAAAAGAAGAAACTTTTTTATTTTTCTTTTCTTTTTTCTCCCCCTTTTTTTCCTTTTTGAGACAGGGTCTCACTCTGTCAACCAGGCTGGAGTGGAGTGGTGGGATCCTGGCTCACTGTGACCTCAATCTCCTCCCACCTTTGCCTCCCAAGTAGCTGGGACCACAGGCACCACCAGGGCAGCTAATATTTTGTATTAGTTTTGGAGAGATTGGGGTCTCCCTGTGTTGCCCAGGCTGATCTTGAATTATTGAGATCAAGTGATCCTCCCACCTCAGCCTTCCAAAGTGTTGGGATTACAAGTGTGAGCTGCCACATCCATCCAGGAAAAGAAGGAATTTAATGCAGATAATTGTTTGCCCAGGTGATGGAAGAGCTGAGACGCTAACCTGGGATGGGGAGGCACTGCAGAGGTAGCCACTATCACCCTATCTCTGGGTAGATTCCCAGAAGCAAGCCATAAAGTTTTGTTAAAATGTCTTAGTACTAGGTGTGGTGGCTCACAGCCAGCAACTGGGGAGACTGAGGTGGGAGAATCACTTGAGCCTGGGAATTTGAGATTAGCCTGGGCAACATAGCAAGACCCTGCCTTTACAAAAAAATAAATAAATAAAAAATTAGCTTGGCATGGTGGCATGCACCCATGGTCCCAACTACTCGGGAGGCTGAGGCAGGAACATCACTTGAGCCTGGAAGATCAAGGCTTCAGTGAGCTGTGATCGAGCCCCTGTAAAAAGAAAAATGTTTTAGGTAGTGATTTCTGGCAAAGCCATTGAGGAATCGGGACCAGGAAGGGAAGGAAGCCAAGCAAGGGTGTCATAACCAAGGGGTGTCTCACAGGGTAACTCTGGCTCAGTCTTGCAAAGGAGCTCTGGGGACTCCTGGGTCACATTTGGAGTTGTCACTATAAGGGGCAGTAATTGAGCGAGGGCAGTTCTAACCAAGGCCAAGCACATGAATTTCCCGCCCTTCAGGGGGTTAGTAGCCTGCGTGCAGCCCCGAAAGAAATACAGGAGTTGGCCTGTTGGGAGTGGACATCCCCCAGGAGCTCAGTGTAGGACAGTGGTAGAGCACTCAGAGTGGATAACACAGAACACTGGCCAGAGAGACTTGGGGAGGAGGTGCAGTGAGCAGAGCTCAGATGCCAGCACATCCAGGATGCAGCACTGGAACTGGGCAGATGCTGAGGATGCCCAGTGCACCACAGCCATGTGAACAAGCGTCTCTCTCGCTGCCTCCCTGCCCCTCACCGCCACCAGTTGCTGAACTTGACCAGGCAGCCTTGGGAATGTAGTCCCCTGTGCTACAAGGCAGGGCCCTTGACTGGGGGTGGATTTCAGGCAAATAGGCAGTTTTCTGCTTTCTATCTCCTTTACGCCGTTTCCCTCTTGGCTAGTTTGTGCATGTGGTTTTAAGTTTTGTATAGGTGTGTGTGTTGATTTTAAATCAATTGCTTTGCTTTATTCCTTAATGTGCTTGATTCTATTTCTGGGTGACTTTTCTTGGATTTTTAAATTTTATTTAAATTTTTAGTCTGGGGGAAGATTTATTCTGCTATATGCTATAAACTGTAGAAAAGACTACTCTGGAATCATATTGCTGTCTAGATACTGCAAGACTATTTATTAAATGATCCTCCTGCCTCAGCCTCCGGGTAGCTGGGACCATGGGTGTATGCCACTGCATTTGACTTACCCACTGGCCTCTGATTTCCTCAGACTTTAAGTTCTCACATGACACTGACCCTGCATCTGGACTTTTTGCTCCATTGCTGTCTGTCTGTCCCTGTGCCTTACCATGCCACGTCCCTGTGCTCGCATCTGCTTGCATGTCTGCTGATGGAACTGGCCAAGTGCCTTCACTCCTTTGCATCTCTTTCTTATGAAACCTAATGATGTTTATCCAGAAGGCTTAGGATCATTTCGCCAAAATCTATAAAATTCGTGATGAGACTTTCACGAGGGTTGGATTCTTCTCGGTTTATAGGTGGGGAAACTGAGGCTAAAGCAGTGAGGTGACTATCCCAAGAGGCAGGGCATGGTGCTGAGAATAGAGAGCAGGTCTCCTGGCCAGGGTCCCCTCTCCCTGCCACATCACAGGAAGGAGGATGGGCTGATCAGCCCGACCGTCTCTTTCCAGTGCCTCTCCTGGACAGGGATCTACACTCCCCACTGAATTATTTCTAATCAGCAGCTTTTGGCAATGAGACAAAGCGAAAAGCACAGGGTCAGGCAGTGCGGGAAAGGTGCAGCAAGAACCTAAGCAGGTAAGACTGGGACATGAAGGCGTTTTCTAGAGGGAACGCGTCCGTGTTGGGGGAGCCTTTGTCAGCAGTAACGCTAAGTCTCCTCTCGCCCCCAGAGTTCCCGTGTTTAACATTGTCATTCTCATGGCTGGCGGATTCCTGAGTAAAAGCCTGGTCTTCTCTGTCCTGTTTGCTGTCACGCTGAAGTCATTTGGATTCTAGACCCACGAATCCACGAGACAGTCTTCTGATCTCCAGCCACATCCATCTGGCAGTGTGCTAAGAGAGGAGAGAGGAGACAAAAGGTCGGGGGGAGTTAATACCATGAATTAAATCTGTAATCACTGGATATTTCTAAAGCCAGGATCTCACCTTCCTGCCTACTGCCCTCATTTCTCACTTGGATGGGCATTTGCCCCTCAGAAAAGAAGTTACAGCCCCAAACATGCCTGGTCCTTCATTCCACCAGCTACTTGTCATTTGCATGAAATACAGACAGTTCAATGCTTTTCATCGTAATTTCTTATGGGGGCTGTGACATGCAGAGGGCACGCCTAATCCTTCTCCTGCTCAGTTTTGCCCTGGACCGTACAATTTTGGCCTGACCTGGACTGAGCTCCCACTACAGAAGCATCCTCCTTGCCCCATGCTGGGACTTCCTCTGTGTAGCATCAGACACTTGGTTTTCATGCTTATATGTGGTTCTTTCCAACACTCCCAGAAAAGGGTGTTGAAGATTGTGGAACATGGAGAAATAAGACTTCATGGTGAGAAAGTGCATCTTTCTCAGAGAAAATAGTTAAACTGAATATCTTGTCTTGGGAAAATACTGACAGGATGAGATGGGATCCATGGGATAGCATTGATAGACAATATCAGACATCCTATGTGCAATTATCTCTGACTCCTGAAAATAGCCCTCTGAAGGCAGAGATGTATGTGACTAGAATGAGGCCACATGAGTAAGTCCCTGCCTGCTGGCAGGAGTGAAAACTGAAGAGCTCCTTACCTCAAGGACCCCAAAGCCATATAGAATAGAATAACCAGGGGTTCTGCCTGTGTCTAAATGCCTCTTTTCCAGTATTACACAAGAGGGAGGGATGGCGGGGTGCAAGCTCTCCCCACGGAAGCTTCTGGAGGCTGCCCCGTATGCTCTCCTTGTTCCCCACTCTTCCCTCCTCCTCCGATCTTAGTCTGCTCCTGGAATACCTGCTTCAGCTTCCATGCTCTCTCCAGTGCCCTCCCCTGTGAAGTAGGTAGGTGTTCAGACCCTCCAGTGTCTTGCAATCTCCCACAGATTTCAATCAAGATTTTGCTATTTCCCACTTGAGCTTTAAAGGCAAAGGGGCCTCATGGGTGGGAAAAGAATGGTGGGTCCATCCAGCCCAATTTAATGATGTCCGGGGCAGAAATCATCCTCCATTCCCAAGAGTAATCATGCTCTTCCATGCATAGTGTGTCTCATGTTAGGTAAACGTATTTTTACAATGGGCACCACTCCTGTGGAAAAAATTCACTGCACACGGAGGTCCAGCTTCCACTTCCTGAGCCCGCTCCATCACATAAGGACTTCCCCATTCCCCAAAATGCTGCTCTATCAGAACCTGCCCAGGTAATGGTACTGACTCCAGAGAGATGATTTATGAACCCCCAATATTGAGTCCATTAGAAGATGGGGAGGGGACATTTATTTCATCCTGGTGCTCTGGTGAGAATCTTCGCAGATGCACTAGGTATAGAAGCTGTTCATCTCAGCACATTTATTTTCCTACCTAAAAGAACCAAGCAGCTGAGAGGCAGTGACCGTACAGCATGCAGTGTTCGTGTGCTGAGTTTGCTGGTCTGGAGCCTGCACTTTAGCAATCCCAGCGTTGCTCCTGTTTATGAAGTTGACAAAGTGACCAGGGGAAGGGGGTATTATCACTAAATGCACTCCAGGAGAGGCAGAACACACAAGGGCAGTGTTTCTCAGAGTGTGGTCTTTAGACCAACTGCATCAGATTGTCCTGGAGCATAAGCAAATGCTTAGAGCCCGGGGCCCCTGCAGACCTACTATATCCTGGTATACAGCTCCCTCTTAGTGGATTTCAAGCTTGTTTCCAATAAGGCATTACACTCCTTACCAAAGCCCATGACACATTCATGCAGATTCATCCAGACATAACCCACTGCACAGTCCAATGTGTTTAACTTATTATAGATCAAGTGTTAGTTAAGTCTGACATATTAAACGTGCTTGAAAAATTATATGCACTAAATTGGAAGACAAATGGCCGTGCTGGAGACCCCCATTTCCACTTACAGGCCATGCCATGTTCCATCCTCCCCATCCTGCCTGGGAACCTGACCAGTGTGGCTAAGCCAGCAGGCTCCCTGGCTGCCGGCTTCTGGCTGGCTGAGCCAATGGGAAGCACAAGAGGAATGCAGAGGGTGGGGAGAGAGTGAGGTCAGGGCTTCTGTCCTGGGGCTCCGTCCCTGGGAGGTGGCAGGAGTGGCTGCATTCCTCTCTGAAGTCTCCTTCAAGCCCCTCAACAAACAGCACCCATCTCCAAGTCCAGCCACCTGCTCTATCCTCTCCTCTGTAGGCCCAGCAGTGGGAATGCCAGCCTCAGTGTACTGAAGCATCCCTTACTGGATTCCCTAAATTCTACGCACATCTTTATTAAATACTCTTCAGTTACCCAGTTTCAATGAGCCACTGGTGTCTTGCTGTTACCTCGACTGATACAATAGTGTTGTGCAGTTAATGACACAGACCTTGAAGGAAAATAGTGTCTGGGTTTGAATCCCAGCTCTGCATCCTTGCAGGATGTCTGATCCTGGGTGACTCAGTTAACCTTCTGGCCCTCAATATTCCTCCTTGCCTTAATGGGCATGGTAGTGCCTAACCATGCCAATGATGATTCTGGAAGCCAACAACAGAATGCAACTCTGGCTGTATAAAATAGCAAGGAAAGTCTAGGGGGATAATAGTAACTCAGAGTTGATGAGAGGCTGGAGGATCGGGTTTAGACAACAGGCAGAAGCCAAGAGAGAATGGACAGCAGAGGCCACATGAGACGTTCTGGCCATGTTGCCATCGATGCCCCTGCCTTGGACGCTGGAGGCCACTATGCTATCCTGGACTCTGAATCCTTAAGTTGCCTCTGAGTAAGTCATCTTCAACTGGCCCTGCATTTGTGTCTCAGCCTCAGATCTGGGATCCTGGGCAGAATCATGCGTGCGGCCAGGCTTAGGTCAAGTCACCTGCTTGCAGCATAGCTGCCGGGAGAGGGGTGGGAGGAATATCTGCCTCCATCTTCAATAGAAGGGGAAGCAGACCTCTGCATCTGAGTGAAACTCACACACTATTGACGCCTGTCCCCCCAAAAGGAAAAGGTGTTTGGTGCTGGAGAGTCAAAAGATGACACACCTCCACTATACTCTCTCCCAATGTTGACAAGATCCAAGGAGATGCCTGAATAAAGAAAGCACTTGGCACACAGTAGGACTTCAATCCATGATGCCATGGTGGTTACTGCTCTTACCGTTTTTTTTTTTTTTGAGATCAAATCTCTCTCTGTGGTCCAGGCTGGAGTGCTGTGGCGTGATCTTGGCTCACTGCAACCTCCACCTCCTGGATTCAAGCTACTTGCCTGCTTCAGCCTCCCAAGTAGCTGGGATTACAGGTGTGTGCCATTATTCCTGGCTAATTTTTTTGTATTTTTAGTAGAGATAGGGTTTCACCACATTGGTCAGGCTGGTCTTGAATGCCTGATCTTGAGATCCACCTGCCTTGGCCTCCCAAAGTGCTGGGATTACAGGTGTGAGCCATTGCACCCGACCAGGTATTACTGTTATAACTGTGGTCTCCATGCCTATGCCTGGACAGGATGCTCAGAGAAACTCATACCTGGTCCTCAGGTAAAACCCCTGAGCCCCTTAGATGTGCTGCAGAGCCCATCTTATCTATATGCAGCTCTTGCAGACGTGGTCAACTTGAACTCCTTGCCACAGAACCACCTAAGCTGTTGTTAAAATGCAGATTCCTGGGCCACTTCCCAGATCTGCCAAATCAGAATGTCTGGGGGTGGAGCCCAGGTGTGTACATGTGCCACATTTCTCTAGTGAAGCCATGTGCCTGTGCTTGGGAACCATGGTGCAGGCTGATATTAAAGAGGGCGGGCTCAGCAGAAAGGCTTGAGCCTGGCCTTGGTGGGTGAACATTTGTTTGCACGATACCATTTCACAGGGAGATTAAGGTTCAGGCTTGTGGGTTGTAGGAGTCAGTGGTCAGTCATGAGGAGGTTGGTGGCATGAGGGGGAGAATGACGCAGTAGGGACCTTGGGTGGGTGGGTCTAGACTCACCATGGTACAGAAAGGGAAGCAACTGAGTGTTCCCATCAGGACTGTGACATCATGATGGCAGGAAGGAAGCTGTCACAAGCGTGGCCAGCCCGTCTCTCTTCATCTTCTGCATCTTCCTGAGCTGTTGCCCGAGTCATGTTTACCTCCAAGATTTCTCAATGTTGATAAATAACTGCCCAGCCTCTTGGGGAGATGATGACTACATATGTGGGGCAACATCCTGCAGCAACTGGAAGAGGCCCTGGGCCAGCCAGCAGACAACATATTTGGTTGGCAGATAGAGTGGAGGGGGCAGGGCTCTGGGGGTGTCCTAACTGCTGCTCCTGCTGCTGCTGCTACAGGTAAGGAGAGCAGATAAACAGGCTGGGGGAGTGGGCACCAGGGAGAGGGATGTAGACAGCCCAGCGGAAGTGCCCACTAAGGGGAGTTTCCTCTCATGTCTTTGGGATGGACTGGAATGGGATCAGCTTATGTGGTACAGATGGAAAGGGGAAAGGAAGGCAATGGATGCAGACTGCGCTGGTCCACCCTGACCCAGCAGGGACTGGGCGATGAAACAGAAGATGGAGATCTCTCTATTGGATCTTGAAGTTGAGAGAATTAGGTGGATTCAATCGAGCAATCCCCCAGCACTGTGAGATGTAAAGAAAAGTGAGGCAAAGTATCCCCTTAAAAAAGCATTCACTCACTACGCAGAGGAGGCATTAGTAGAGCAAAAGGTAAATAACAGCAAAAAGAAAAGTAGCAACATGAAAACAAAACTTCTGTGGAAGTCACTCTAGCAAGGAACAGAAGGGAGCGTGGAGAAGAGGATAAGAGCTCTGGAATAAGACTGGGCTGAGGCAAATCCCATCTCAGCCACACTATGTATGTGACCTTGAGTAAGGTTTCTAACCTCTGCTAGGCTCAGTTCCCTCATTTGTAAGTGGAACTGACTCACAGGTATTTATTTGTAGGTGGTACCAACTTCAGAGGGTTGTCCTAAGAATTAATGGATGGATGGAAAGCCCTTGGCTCAGTATCTAGGGCCTAATAGGTGCTTAATAACTATTATGATGGAGATGATGATGATGGAACCAGGTGTGGGGTGATCTGTGATATTGAGGATGAAGAGGAGAAAGGGATTAGTACCAGCTGCAACTGTTCAGGTTGACTCCCCTCTGAGAGCAAATGGGATGGATATAGAGGGAGAAGAGTGAGAAGAGCGTCTGTCTTGGAGGACACTAGGAGCGAATACAAAGAGGTGAGGCCAAGTGCTACGGCTCACACCTATAATCCCAAACACTTTTGGAGGCTGAGGTGAGAGGATGGCTTGAGACCGGGAGTTCAAGATCAGTCCGGGCAACATAGTGAGATGGAGTTTAGATGGAGTCTGGCTCTGCCGCCCAGGCTGCAGCCTCCGCCTCCCTGTCTCTATAAAGAACAAAAAGTTAGCTGGGCATAGTGGCACGCACCTATAGTCCCAA